GAACATACTATTATACAGAGTATAAAATACTAGAAAACTTTTATATAAAACATTTTTTCATATGCGACATAATTTCGAAGATATTCACTGAAAACGAAAAAATTAATTATTTTCGAGGGGGTGTTTACCCCCTAAACCTTGAGTTAAGGAGCTATAAAAAAATATGGATTTAATATTTTTTGGTATCAACTCTACAATATATCCAAAGTCCATCAAAATCGGTGAGGGATCAAAATCAGTTCCGACCGTTCCCTTATAAAAGCTTCGATTCGTAACAATAAAGTTAAATTAATAGATTACACTTTGAATAATATTGTATATGATGCATTACATGATAAATAAATATTGAATATATATTGAAATCTAATTTAAAAAAAGGGAAAATCAAAAAGACCATCTATCTTCCAATAAATGTCTATCTTCTAATAGATATCTAGGAAAAAAAAGAAATTGGCAATACACGTAAGAAATAATTTATATACTAAAATAAATGTGGGCAATAAACGTAAATTCTAACGTTTTATTCAGAAAATTGTAAATCTATTTTTCAGCATTTAAAAAAGAAATTATGAAACAATTAATGTTGCTAAAAAATACATTGTACGAAGTAAAGGATCAACTTATCGATTTAAGCAACAAAATTGAAACAATGTGATTGGAATTAGTCGAACATAAGGCAAGACATAATGAAGAACCAAATTTTTTATCTGAATTTCCGATAATGACAGTTGAGGACCTAGAAGTCTTAGAAGATTTATTCTAACGAAAAAACCAGAAACTTGCGTCGAAAGCTTCTAATATCAGAAATTGGAAATCATTCATTGCGCACCACAGCGGCCGCATTGACATCTGATTTCATCAAACATAAACAACAATTCTCTATTGCGTCATAATTCATAATCAATCGATGATATAAACGCAAAAGAACGTGCGCGCACAAAAGAGTTTGGTGTCTTATGTAAAATCACGATCTTAATTTTGTAACTTTGCCTTCATAAAATCCTCCTTCGATTCAGTGATTAAAAATTTCCGACCTTTCAATAACACTTTTAATTCTAACATGGTGTAATCACTTAGCTCTCTCTCGGTTTGAGTCCCTTCCTGTCTCTTTCTTCTTATCGAGCCTCTCACAGTCTCCATCACACAGAAAACAGAGCAGTTCTTATGGCCGTTAGCTAAAAAGGAGGCAACGCGCTCTCAGTTTGCACCCGGAATGTGACAAATTATTTGATCACAAATCGCGAAAGCGCCCGTTTGCTCCACCTCTCAGCCCAGGCAGCGTTCCTTCGGCATCGAAATCCGCCCTCTGGGAATTGACCCTCAAAACTCAAAACAGGAACAGGCAATCCTCTCCTCCTCCTCCTCCTCCCCTCGCTGGAGGTAACAACAGTAGTAAAAAATTTTTTAGTAAGAATCCTTTTTCTAAGGATAATGATAGTTTTGATAAAAATGTTTGTAAAGATTTTCCAAGTGCATATTTCGCAAGAAGAGACTGTACTTATGAATTAATTATATAAAACTGCTGATTGAGAAATTAAAGATAATCGCGGGAGATCGAGAAAAGAAATTAACGAAAGACAGTTAAATAGTGACAGACTCTCGGACAGACTGATTAAAGATAATAGATGCAAACACAAATATTTTGAGCTTAAATATTTAACGACAGAGTCGCGATTTTGATATATATTTATTATAAAGCTAAAGTTATGTAATGTTTTAATATTCATTGTTTTATTTTATATGTCTAGAAATCTATGTAATTATTCAGAAAGTACTTTATTAAACAAAAATCATGTATTATAAAATTATAAAATTAAGCATTTTAATGAATTATATTTAATTATGTATGCAAAGGGACAATTAAACAAATCAAAAAAAGTCTAGATATTAGTTATATAATACTCACATTATTCAAATAAAAAACTTAGTATTACCTGATTTAAAAATTCGTTATGAATCAATTAATGAAGAAATGATATGTAATAATACATATTACAGATAAAACTATGACTAAAAATTTAGCTTATTATGTTAATGAACATCATGCATAAATAGCTGAGAAAGTTAAATAAAAATCATTTATTCATTCCTTCTCTCTCTAATTTTGCGCATAAAAACAAACGGAGAAAATCGCTATTAAATTGTGATTAACTTTGAATAATTAAACAATTTGTTTCATCAACAGCAAAAAATTATAATATTAGTAAGAGACGAATCAGAGTCAAAATGTGCTGCATCAAAACGTGCGCACTTCGTACATTATCTTTAATTCATTGTAAATTAAAAACTAAAGCTTAGATATATATAAAAACTTAAAGATAATATGTATACCTATCTTGCTGTTTAATAGTGTAAATAGATAATAAAGAAATAAAATTGATTTATTAATTGATAAAATATGTTATATATTACAAAGCTGTAACTACTATCGAAAAATAATTTTACTATTGAAAAAAAATTACATATATTGAATTAATGATAATATTATTAGACTTTAAGACAAAAACTGCCATTAGCTTTATTATCTTTTAAATATAGATTTCATATACGTAATTAAACTAAATTTTCGTAAATAAACTTTCTTTACCGAAAAAACTTTAGAAAATCAATGTGAACAAAGAAAAGTTATATTATCGTATTTTTATATTAAAAATTTTATATTAAATAAAACAAACTTAACGAATAGTACTTAATATTTTTGCTAAAAATATAAAATAGTCATTCTATTCTGCGAAAACAGAAGATATGTATAATTTGTGCCCTGCGGCTCGTGAAACGAAACGTAATATTGCTTAATCCCTGGCACGTTTAAAAATGCTTTTAGCGATTTTTACGAGCATTAGGGTGTTATTCGCCGATGACACAGTATAGTATATCCCATATTACATAACTGTATTTTTCCAGTATATATCATAATATAAATGTCTTCCATTAACAGAAAATACATAACATGCCGCAAACATTTAAAAAGCTAGAAAATGTTGTATTTCTCGACTTTTATAATTATAATGATTGCTTGTAGATCGTGAAATTTAAATCACACCCGATAGATGTACTATTACGTCAAATATGCAAATTATGCAGATTAAGAAGCGCGGAACAGACCAAGGACACGCCACAATGCAAAAAAAGCACATAGCTCTTAGCTCATAGCGATGTTGCAGTAATCTTTGAATCTTTCTATGCTAAACCCGATAAAAATATATGCGAAGGTCGAATTTTTTTCGAATACGTTTCCAGTGTTTCCAGTGTCGCGAATGAAATTACATTATCGAATAAACTATCATATGTATGCCTTTAACCGCGTTCAATCGTTCAAAATGCTAGTTCTATTTCTAACTCCGCGAGCTTTGCACGTTCGACATTTCAAGTCTATTTTAACTTAGAATTTTACTCTTTTCTATTTTAAGTCTTGCAAAGAGTCCAAATTTCGTCTACATTTCAATTTTAAATCCAATCTTGTGCAATTAAGTGCAGTATTAACCAAAATTAAGATATCTTTCGTTTTGCATTAATTCAGAATTTCCTTTAAAAATAATTCTTCTATTCTATTCGCAAACATTTCAAGACGTAAAAATACGTAATAATATGTTCGCTCTTTTTCACGTTATAAAAATAAATCGAATTGTCTGATACGTTTTAAAAAAGTATATTGTATGCACAAATTATATATAATACGAATATATAGTACGAAATACTAATAAGTAGAGAAGAATCAATGCCATAACCAGTCACTCGCTGCAGTCTCCTCGCAGAGAAGCCTATTCCTTGAAAAGAGTTTGCGGGCGACCTCAAGTTTGTACAATGTCATGTTAATTTTACGAATAATTCCAGTAATGTAAAACTTCCAAGAGAACACGTTAGTGACTCTCTAAGAACTTTCACACAGACGTTTCACGAGGGAAAGGGAGGGGATGGCATTTCCTTATTGAAGGAAGGATATCAGTGTGTAGCAAATTAATGAAATGAGAGATACTGAGTATCTCAGTCTCTCAGTTCTATCAGATTCTATTAAAAATGAAAAATTCTTCTATTATAAAAATTCTATTAAAAATTAATTATTTCGAATAGTAATAACGTTGATCCAGTTATCAACTAACGACGTCAATAATCCTATTGGGACACACGTTAATGATGATTCAAATATTATCAGTATAAAAATCGTATTTAGAGATAAGATGATATTTTGTAGATAATATTGTACAGGCAAATTAAATAAATGACGTAGGGATAGTAATGGGCCTGTGGAACAAACCTTTGAGGTAAACGCTATGTGAGACATGAGTTCAAGACGCATTACTATCTCTATCATTTTAACAACCCTGAAAGAAACAGAAAACTTGTTGAAAGTGCGTCGCTACTCCATATTGCACGTCACAATCATTAACTACAGATAACAGCACATAATTGAAGATAAGTGAATCATTATCAAGATAATTACGTTTTATATTCGAAACATCCAAACGAAGAATGAATAATATTTATCACGTTCGAATTAATTCGACTTATTTAATAAAAAAAAAGTATATTATGTACACTCTCAAAGTACATAGCATAATTTTTGTTCAGGATGCACAGACGTTTAATCATTACGTCATATTTTTGTTACTAACATTTCTATTGAAACTCGCGTGTTCCAAGAATAAAATGGCGATAAGAAAACTAATTTAGAGATTGAAACCATTATTGCACCGCTGAGTTCGAATTTGCCATGGCAAAGGTAATCCCTATGTGTTATGTAATGCAAACGCGGCCATCAGTATAAGAGTTCTCTCTAAAACTTTTAGAGTAAATTGTCATTCTGAAGAATGAAATGTCACTCTTAAAGATTGAAAATTGAGCCACTCTTTTTCAAGATTGGCCCAATTTTCACTCTTTAGAGTAAGATTCCATTTCAAAGAATTTAGAGAGTTATTTTCGTATTTTTAACATGACAAATTAAACTCATCGAAATAATAATTCGAATCTTTAATCTAAAAATGTTATATGTCGATTGCCAACTGTGTGTGTGTGTATGTGTGTGTGTGTGTATGTGTGCGTGTGCGTGCGTGTCGTTGATCGTAGCTTTGCGGAAGCAACGAGCGAGAAAATCCCAGACGCGACATTCGTTTCCTTTTTTTTTTCCCTAAATTTTCGAGAGTCGAGCGAGCCGAGAATCGAGGCATTTGAGACTCTTCGAATCCTTCGTTTAATTAATCTAGCGATCGTCTTCGACGCGCGACGATCAAATACGATCGGAAATGCGTATATGTGCTCGAAACGGTCGCCTTCTTTTCTATTTTTTTTCTTTTTTTTTTTGTTGAAAAGAAAGCGCTCTTCGAAGGGACGTAATGCCATTCGTTTGAAAAACGGTGCCCTTCGAGAACCAGCGGTTGTTTCCCCCTCGAGAAAGGGGGAAATTCCCGTCTCGGGCGGAGAAACGAGCTAAACGCTATTCGCTGACGACGTCGTAGATGCCGATGTCGAGGGCGCTCGGGCGACTTCGTGCGCCGAGCGACAGAAACGGACTTACCGCCTGCGGCAGGAACATGCGCGCGAAGACGAAGTTATCCTTGGGTCGCTGCGAGGAGTCGCCGTCGCCTTGGTAACGATGACGATGCCGATGACGATGACGATAACGTTGGCAGCGTTCGTCCAGAGCACTTAGCCACGGAAAAAGCCATCACCGCACGTGCCACAGACCAAGATTTAACGTACTGAGCTGTGGCAGCTTCATGATCCGCTCGAGGCCGCTGGTGGTGATTTTCGTGCAGCCGTACAGGTCGATGCACTTGAGATTCTTCATGCTCTCGGCGACGGTGTGCAGACCCCGGTCAGTGAGCCGGCTGCACTGGCCGATGTTGAGGGTCTCGAGGTCGTGTAGAGTCTTGGCGATCTTGCAGATACCCTCATCGCTGATCTGGCAGGCGGACAGTGACAGGGACTTGAGGTTGAACAGACCTTGAGAGATGTGCACGAGTGCCTGATCACCGATCTTGTCGCAGAACGACACGTCGAGCGACGTGATGCGACTGCCGCCCTCAGCCAAGTACGCCATGCCGATGTCGGAGATGTTGTCGCACGAGCGTAGGTTTAACTCGCGTAGACTCGACATCCTGGCCAGGTGTTTGACGCCGGAGTCGGTGATGCAGACGCAGAACGACAGGTTGATGGACTTGAGAGTGGTGAGGCCGAGCGACACGTGCCTGAGCGCCTCGTCGCTCAATCGTTGGCAGTCCTGCAAACTCAGATGCTCCAAGGCGAGATTACCGTCGGCGGTCTCGCGATTCAGTCCGGCCAAATGAGCGATGCCCAAATCGGACACGTGCCAGCAACTTCGTAGGTCCAGTCGCTTGAGTTTTTTGAGGCCCCATGCGATCAGCAGCAAACCGGTGTTGGTGATGTTGCAGCAACCGCCCAGTTCAAGATGCTCGAGATTCTTCAAGAACTGCGCTATCCTGCTGAGTGAGGAGTCTGTCACTTGCTTGCAAAGCGATAGGTTGAGCTCAATGAGGGACGGGTATTCCTGGCAAAAAGCGTTCAGGATACCGGAGTCAGTGATGTTGTAGCAACCGGACAAGTTGAGCGCCTCGAGATTCGGCACGCCCTTTAGAACGTCGCTGAGGCCGCGTCGCAAGGACAACACCTGTACTTTCTTCACGCCACGTCTTACCAAGCTGGCGAATAACGCTGGCGCCTGTTTCCTGAGGTGCAGTCGCGCTTCGACTCCTCGCCAAACCGAGCGATAATAGGCAGCGTCGCGCCACGCGGTGCATACTTGCGCGGCGCGTCCCTTGTCGCGGACGTCCAGGTAGCTGAAGATGAGCGCCAAAATCTCCGGATACAGGGAGGACACGTGGGTGCTCGCGGCGGGTTGGCCGTGCGTTACCACGGTGCCGCGTTGATGGACCTGATGCGGGTGCAGCTGGTGCCGCGAGGAGATGCCACCCTGGCTGATGGTGTAGGCCTGTAGACCGGCAG